GAAGATGTTTTTCTGAAAATTGCACCAGATTTTCTGACATACATGAAACTGACCACTATTTCCGAGTAGAGGAGATGAGTCATTCTTAATTTTTAACCTTCCAAAAAGGAAACAATATCCTTCTTGCACAAGATCCAAAGTTTATTTTGTCCTAGATTTTGTTTTTCCACTTTGGACCGATTTTTAACTATTTCCATCTTTCATCCAGAGTTCAAGGCTGCCTTTGACATGTTCGACACGGACGGTGGCGGTGACATCAGCACCAAGGAGTTGGGTACCGTGATGAGGATGCTGGGTCAGAACCCATCAAGGGAGGAGTTGGATGCCATCATTGAGGAGGTTGATGAGGATGGTGAGATTATTGCGTGGTCAGATAATAGAAAAATTACAACAAATTTAGCATCTTAATGACATTTAAGGATGATTGATGGGACTGAGTTGCTCTATTGAATTTTTTTTGTTCCCTGGCTCTGAAATAGTTTTTTGTATGTGCTGTTTTCAGAGCAAAAGAGGTGGATTTACTCAATTCTGCACTCACTGTGGCTTCAAGTAAATACATCAGGGACACAATGAGACTCACAACACAGAGATACTCCAGCAATAATAGTGATAATAGTCGTATTGTGTTTCCTTAATGTTGAAGGCTAGGTTGAAACCTTGTATATGGCTGGACTGTATGGTCAAATTGTGGCCAAATTGTTAAAATGGATAGTGAGCAGTAGTGTAATGTAAATCTTCTGCAGTAGTCCCTCACGTCATGTGAGCGTGGTTGCCTACGTCAGTGTTCACAGACACATCTCATCTTATCCCACTAGCCTTAGAGAGTGAATCCTATACAAAATAGAAGATTATTTAGGTACCTCCAAAGGATATGCTGATATTTTCCAGCTCATTTTAACCGATTGCCAATGCTGATATATCCACATATTTTTTCAACCTAATAGCAGAGAAAATCCTGTCTTCCCTGTAGTGGAATTAACATATTATTATGCCTGCTACTATTGTGAAGGCCCTCTGGCAGATGCAGACATAAAATAAATGTAAAGTAAGTGCAATTTACAGCTGTACAGCAATTAAAGTCAACTGCATTATTAGACAGTGCACTCTTTTTCATACTGTTAAATCAATATAGTGCCTATACTTCTGGAGTTATGGTACATAACTAACATTCACACCTATTCAGTTTAAACAGCAATGACCAATGGGGAATTCGACCGATCAGTGGTATAACTTTATCAGTCACTGACTCGCTCACTAAGTCAGGGACAGACTTGGTGTTTATAGGGCTGACCCTGCTTAGCTGTAGTCCAGACAAGTCAAGCTCCATAAACACTGCATCCTTCCCATAATGTAACTCAGCAGAATTTCTTAATAGACCCAACCTGCCTGCTAAATACCCTTTTTCTTTCCATTCTGTGCCTCCAATTTATAACAATGATTTTCTGTCAAATAATCAAATCAAGCCTTTCTCAAGGTAACCCTGGTGGCATCCTCTCTCTTCACTTATTCACCTCCTCATCCCTTCAGGCAGCGGTACCATTGACTTTGAGGAGTTCTTGGTCATGATGGTGCAACAGTTAAAGGAGGACCAGGCTGGAAAGAGTGAAGAAGAACTTTCAGAATGCTTCCGTATCTTTGACAAGTATGACACCAAATACTAACAGAAAAACAAGAGCAAACACCATGTTACTGCACAAGATGTTTATGTTCTGCTAATGCTAAATTGAAAAGCCTATAAATTGGAATATTTTAGAATTTTAGAAACAATTTTATGGCCTGCAGAATCATTAAACAGTTTGAGAAACTATTTGTCAAACACCGTAGTTTTATAGAGACATTTTGGTTCAGCAACAAATCAACTTTATTTATAACTCCTATATGATACTACCCTCAGTCTGTATAGACAATGCAATTGACTTTTAACAAATATCTGCAATGTGTGTTTGTGTGTTGATATACGAGAGCAAGGAAGCAAGAGATTTGTTTTCACACAGTAAATTTAAAATAGCATTTTCACCACAGGAATGGAGATGGTTTCGTCGACCGGGAGGAGTTCGGAGATATCCTCCATCTCACTGGAGAAGCTGTCGTAGAGGAAGATATTGACGAGATGTTTGGCGAAGCAGACTCAAACAAAGATGGAAAGATTGATTTTGATGGTAAGGTTAAGCTCAATTTATATAGAGGGAAGAGCTTCTTCACCCCTGTGGACCTCACACTGTCTTTCATAATGTTTTTTAGGAGGCCGCCATGTTGAACCACCATGTTTGTACATTAGAACATACAAACCAAAAACTGGCTCACGATAGGGCCCTTTGTGTTTTTTGTGCGTTTTGCGACCAGCGTAGTTTCTCCCTCGTGCTTGAAAAGGGACGGTGAAACAAGTGAGTTGAAATTAGCAACTATACCACTAGATGCCACTAAATCTTACACACTGGTCCTTTAAGAATGGTAGCAAGTTCTCTCTTTTAAAGAAAAAAACTTCAACAAGTTACAACAAATAACTTATACAGCAATTCCATAACATAGTCATAACAAAGGAACAAAAGAAAAACAGAGAATACACATCTATATATGTATATATACAGACACAATGATGACAACAAAAATGCCAAAACTATTCCCTGTAAATAAAATGTTTTTTGGTTGACTAACATTAGTAATCAGAGATGGGGTGGAACCTAAATCTTTGTGAACTCTCTGTGGTGTTAAAAGGTAGAATGATTATGATAACTTCCCCTTTTGTTAATCTCAAAACCAGTACCAACTGCTCCACAATATATGGACTTGAAATGGACTACAAAGTGACAAGTCTGCACGAATATATATAAATACATTTTGAGGCATTTTACCATCTGGCTGAAAGTAATACCTGAGTCTGTGAGCACATGAATCTGGCAGACAAAGAAAGATTAGTGCTTATCTTAAAATGATCACAGCTGAAACAGAGTACATGTACAGATGAACATTTACACATTGCAATCACATGTTCTCTATGATTAGTTTTGTTTAAGGCTTTGTCTACACAGTGTGCTCAGCTTGTGAGCTGACTAATTTGTTGATCTGCTCAATCATTCATTGATCAATGGATCTGTGGTGGGCTGGTTAATTGACTGTTGCCCTCGCTTTCTTTCTCCAGAGTTCCTGAAGATGATGGAGAACGTCCAGTAATGAGGCTCAACATTCCTTGGTGACCCTTCCTCAGAGAGAATATAAAGCTTGTGGAAATGGGCTCGGAAAACAAACTCCAGATATATAAAACCCTGTACAATTATGAATCTGATGTCGTTTCTGAGACTTCTAAATGGATACAAGTATCCCCCCTCTTTCCCTTCCCATATGAAAGCTTGGGGCTTGGTGAGGATATCTATAAATATCCGTTCAAACCTTTTAAGACGAAGGCACTTTCCCCTGGCCTTCACCCAGCTGTCACTTGGCAGCTGCCGTTCCTCCAGAAATCTTACACCACCTAGCTTTAACCCCCACCCTCCTCCTCCTCCTCCTCCTCCTCAGAATTGTATATCTTCTCCACCCTGTTCTTTCTAAATAAATCCACTTTCTCCTTGTTCATCTTTGCAAATTATTCTGCTATGCATGCCTGACACCTCTTATCTCATCTGATTTTTATCTGTTTTGTCCTTTCGTTTCTCTTTCAGTTGTCATCACGATTCTCAGATACACACACATGCATGACCACACTGCAGACAAGCACATGCACTTTTTGCACCACATACAGCATCCTCCTCTTACACACACACATTTGTTTGACTCCAACTAGTCTGGTCTATCTCCCAGTTCCAGTCCCAACTTCAAACTAGCTCCCACGATGCCTTTCAAAATACCTCTATTTGCACAGATAGTGCCATACACCAACCTCCCTGTCTCATTCCAACATTACAGAGCTGTCATGTCTGAGGAAATATTCAGTTATCTGGCTTAAAATTGATCTCTTCCAAGCTGTCTCCCAGCGCACAAATCAGTGCCCCCAGTGGCTCATCCCCAGCGTGAGTGGTGAAGCCGAGCAGTCGGCCCGGCCGAGGCTCGAGTCAGTCACAGAGCATATGAGTTTATTCCCCTGTTGGAAAATGCAGGTCTCCCTCCGGGTATATAGCCTGCAAAAGCCCCCCACCACTTCTCAAAAGCAAACATCCCTCCCCTTTCTTTACGGCTGCTCCCCTCCTCAGCATCCTATCCTCCTCTCCTGCCTCTCACCTCGGGCCCTCCCCTTCAGGAAACGCCTGCCATATAAGGAGCATCAGGTTGTGTTTATCAAGCACCAGGATGTGTGGGTGCTTGCCTCCGTGTCCCTGTCTTCTCTCAGCCTAAAATCTGCCTGCTATTCAGGGCACTGGGGTGGGGGCAGAGAGGGGTGGAGGGTTGGAGGGAGCATTTTTCTCCCGGTTTTGAGTTTCACACTCAGATTGAAACGCCATCATCACAAAACCCATAACCTGCTTTAAAATCGTTGCCTCCCCCTCCTTGTGCACTGTCTGAAGGCCTAAATAGAAATCAGCAGTGTGCACTGACGAGCTGAAAGATCTGTAGCTTTATTTGCATTTCTTTTTAAATTTTAGCAGCATTTTAGTGGAGGTATTTTAAAGAGATCACCATCGAAAGCTGCTATGGGGCCATTTCTAGGGAAACCTAATACAATAATTAGATGTGTGTGTGTGTGTGTGTGTGTGTATGTATTTTCCTTTTCAGTATGAATTCTTTACAGTGTGTCACAGTTCTCTCTGACATTCTACCTCTAAAAATCTCAGTTTTAACAAACCAGGTGACAGACACAGTTAAAATAGTCTTTTTGCATCTCCCATTCTGTACTGCAGATTTTTTTCTACCTTTGACCCAGATCACAAAAGTGCAAAAAAACCCTCTGGCTTTACCTCTTTTACATTCTTAACCGTGCAACTTCAAGAAACAAGAGCTTTTCCCGTCCAAAGTGTGATTGGCTCACAGTGGCCCCAGAACCCTAAAAGTTCAGGGTACTAAATCTGGAGGGCCTGTGAGAGGCAGGGGGCGGGACCTGGCTATCCCGTTTAAAGTGTGTGTGACCCTTCACTTGACGTCTAGTCTCTCTGTTGGGGTGCACGCGGATTGACCACTCCTTTGGGCTTTTCTTTTTTCCTTGGATATTTGGGGGGGAAAAGCTAATCCACAAACATGGTAAGACCAGTCAGTTGTGCAAATGACCCGTTGAGCTATTCCAGGTTGGTCAGACAACCAGACATTAGTTATTAAAGCGCAGTAATAAGGGGAGAGCCTGTAAATTGGAGGTTAAGTGGTTGAGTAATAAAGGCATGTGGAAGTCTAAAAATCAACTTGAGTTGTTGTGCAGGATGTTTTCTTCTGTTGCCTTCCCTTAAAATAGCAACATTTGACATTTTTTTCCCTAAATACTGCATTTTTATTATACATAATTGAGATTAATTTATTTTATTTTATACAGAAATCTTAATTAATGCAAGATTAATAATGTATCTATTACAAATATTACTGATCCTGGTAGAGAGTGAAGATGGGGAGCTGGGTGGGTGTCAGCTGGGAAGGTGCGGATTCTGCTTAGGCGACAAATTCCCGGGGATTGGATGTCTGCAGGCCATATACAGCCAGCCATAAGGTGTTGAGCCAGAAATAGCCCGAGAAATTTTCACCAAGCTCAGGAATCCATTTGAGGCGCAGCAGATACATCCTGCATGACTTATGAAAGAATGTTATTATCGCAGAAACTAATCATATAATAACGTAACCTTACAGTCTCTAGAATAATATTGTAATTGCTGTGATATTCCTAAAACAGTCATTTTACTCTAGTTTGAGCATAAAGACGTTGATGATATGTAACATTTTTACAATTTTGGTGTAATTAATTAAATAATTAATTAAATTTAATAAAAATGTAACCTGGCAGCAACCTATATAATATGGGAATTGCTGCTCAGGCCACCGTGTCAGAAATTGGCTTAAAGGTTATAGGCTACAGAGTTTTAACTGGAGTGATGAATGAAGTGTAAGTGAAGCCTGTAGTGAAGGATGAAGTGACAAAGTGGCCCCTGTTTTCTTCCAGACTGACGCGCAACAAGAGGCCCGCTCCTACCTGAGCGAGGAAATGCTGGCTGGTGAGTACAGGCTGCTACAGTAACGCGTTACTTCAGTGATTCCGTTACTTTGCCCAGCAGTAACAAGTAATACAACACATTACGATCACCACACCTCAAAATTTCAAGATGATATCAGTCATCCCAGTTACACCATCCTATTATTCCTGTGCCAGAATGAGCTCCTTCAGTACTGTAATGGTACACAGAGGAAGATTCCGCTGTTTTTCAGTGTATTTAGACATGCAGAAGAGCATTTAATGTAACTGTCTTACTACAGTGAAATAATGTTCATGAGTAACAGGTTTAAGAACAGCCAAGTACAGAGAAATTAGGCCAGTTTCTGAGTAACGAGCCACATTCTGTCAACTCCATCCCTCCAGAGTTCAAAGCCGCCTTTGACATGTTTGACACCGACGGTGGCGGTGATATCAGCACCAAGGAGTTGGGTACCGTGATGAGGATGCTGGGCCAGAATCCGACAAGAGAGGAGTTGGATGAAATCATCGAGGAGGTCGATGAGGACGGTGAGCGATGGATAATCTCTGATAGCAGCACAGTAGGCCTATATTGCGCGTATTGGGCGCAATGAGTGTTTTTACGCACAAGCAATACATGACTCCGACACTTTACATGTGCTCCACATCAGCTCAAATAAACCAAGTGATTGTATCTAACATTATTTGGAACCAAGGCACTCTGCTAGTAAAGAGAGACTGCTGATCCTAAATACGTTTATTTATGTTTATGGTCTAAACAGACCGCTTTCTTCTTGGTTTTGTTAATTATATGAATTATTGCATTATATATGTCGGGGTTCACTTAACTCCAATGTTTCACTGTGGTTCGTGCGTAAAGTTGTGCGCAAAGACAAGCGCAGTGTGTCCCACATGAAGCGCAGCAGGACACCGGGCCTTTGGTCGGCCCGACCATTGTTAATCAATGGTGTTTCACCCTCAGGTAGCGGTACCATTGACTTCGAGGAGTTCTTGGTCATGATGGTGAGGCTGCTAAAGGAGGACCAGGCCGGCAAGAGCGAGGAAGAGTTGGCAGAGTGCTTCCGTGTGTTCGACAAGTACGTTCACACTAGTAACGTGGTTCACGTAGTGTGCTGCACTCGTTTAATGAAGGCATGTGTTTTATTTTGTCATGTGATTACTTGTTCAAGTCTACAATTTCACACCTGTCTGTGTGTTGCGCAGGAACGGCGACGGCTACATCGACAGAGAGGAGTTCGCCCTCATCATCCGCAGCACCGGCGAGCCCATCTCAGAGGAGGAGATTGATGAGCTGATGAAGGATGGAGACAAAAACACCGACGGCATGCTGGACTTTGATGGTATGTGGATGATGATGATGAACGTGTCATGTAAACACATCACTTTTCCAGTAATGAATTATCCCAATAAATAGTGGCACAGGGTTAGGGTTTAGCAAAAAAATGATAATTTTAAAAAGTATTCTTATATTTCTGTTGTGCCATGGCATATCAGGTACTAGTAGGGTGAGGTTTTAGTAACTTTAATGATGGCTACCTGGTTGTATTTTTTGTATATCTTGTGAATTAATTAATCGTTTTCAACCCGAGCCTCCTAATAATAGAATGACACAATGAAAAAGAACAGACATGCTTTATTTGAACTGCTCAGTTAAAAAACTCCTTGATGGACACATTTCATTTGCAGTTTGCAGCTGATGATGATCATGGTAACTGAAACTTCCCATCTCTCTTTTTTCCAGAATTCCTCAAGATGATGGAGAATGTGCAGTAAAACCAGAAAGACTCATGGACATTCCTCCTCCCCCCTGTGAACCCCCATTCTTACCACATCTGTCCCCCTATTGATCCACTCAAACCACCCCCCCCACACGCTCCCTCTCCTCTCTCCTGTCCACCTGGTTCACTGCGTCTCTTCTCCATCCTTATAGACATCCTCAACAGACAGCTAGGGCACCCGGCAGCGGGGTCACTGGCTGGGCTACACTCTTCCCCCAGCTCGCTTGTGACCGCAGACAACCCATGGATGCAATGAGGAAATTCACTGCACAAACCCTTATGGGGTATGCATTGCGTTAACAGGTGCATGTCATCAGTGACCCCCTCCCCTCATGCTGGTAAAGCTCTGATCTAGAATCTAGTCTAGATAGAACAGCGGCCTGTAATCTGCTGCTTAGACCAATGAATTCAACCACTTCACTGTACAAAGAAGTAATTTGCTTGAAGAGAATAAATGAACTAACACATGCTCACTTGTAGTTGGTCTGTCATATTTATGGTCTGTGTAAAAGTTTTGTTTTGAGGAATATCAATAAAATGTTTATTTCTTCTTTTTGTCCATTTTGTTTGAACTGCAGCCAGTTTTGTCTTGAACATACTGTCGGCTTTTTGAGTACTGCTGCTGTCACGAGTTGAGTGCAGGGTGGAACCAGTTTTAGGGGTCCACACCTGGGGCCAGATGCATAAACAGGCACGCACATAAAACGTGTACTCTTCCTCATGCAAATAAAAATGACCTCCTGCAGCTTTTAATGGCTTTTATTCAGGCCCAGAACTCCTGAGTGTGGTTATGTAATGTTGTCATGTTGCAATAATATGGGAGGATTTCACTCACTCTTTCCCAGAGTCAAAAGTTAACGTGTTTAATTGTTTTTGGTTTAATGATAAAACAGAAGAGTGTGCTATTAATGCATCTACAGTGATATGGCAGTATCGTACTGTACTGCCATAGTGAACGGGTATTCTGGTACTTAAATAAAGACTGATGAAAATATGTAAGTTACTTTATTTAAACAGTCCCAGACAGTATGACATCTTTATCTGCCCATCACTGTCATACCACCATATAAAATAATGTACATCACATATCACAAAAAACACTGAATTCGGACAGAAAGTCCGGCCTAAACAAATGGCTCAAAAGCACAGGTGAGCGAATGACTGTTTGAGTTGAACAGAAATAAAAAAAGAAATATTGTAGGTCCAAAAAGTGTCCCACGGTCAGGTTAGGAGCCATAGTTGGCTTCGTCGAAAGCTTTCCGGGCTCTCTTCAGCTCTTCGTTCATGGTCAGTAGGTCTTTGACCCTGGCGAACTTCCTGGGGTCCTTGCGAATGAGGAAGACGATGTCCTCCACCTGGACGCGGCCCTGGCGTCCGATAGACATAGCTTTGTGGGTCATTTCCGTGATAAACTCGATCACCAGGTCCTCCAGAATATCCACAGACTCCGTGTAAGGGTTCTGGTCGTCTCCAAATCCGTACATCATACACCGGAGCTCTTTGGAGAAGAGCCTCTTTCTCTTCCCGTGGCCGACATCTACTCCGCTGGATCCATCCTCCACCTCCTCGTCGTAGCCAGTCTCGTCCTCCTCGTCCGCCATTCTGCTGAAAAACACCCAGATAGGTTGGTTTAACCTACGTGTACGTACATGCACCTCGCCCCTGAGCAGTGACAACTGTTAACATTTCATTAAATGTCCTAATGTTAAATAATAATGCAGAAAACGTTACCTTGTATTTAGCTCTACGTTGGCTCAACAGTCGAGTAGTCGGCGGTCTCTGTTGACTTCCGGCTCTGGTTCCTCGACTGTGGAAGTGATTTGGGGAGAGAAAAGCTTGCTCTAGAAAACACTGCCCCCTGCGGTCATTCTCATTTAACTCTGTCGTTAAAAGAAGACGGTGGTTTCCACCACAAAGTTTGCTTATGCTACTTAGCCAAATAGCCAACATGACGGACGGTAGGTTTCTTTATTGTTTATCTTTTGATTTGCTGCTGGTCAAGGCCAAGCTCAGGTTACAAAGATGACAATGTATGTGTGTGTATCACTGCATAACGTTAGCTACACTGTAAATGAAACAGCTAGTCCAGTCCTCCGGTGTACCAACTTGATTTACCCGCACTTTTATTTGATGGTTTTGCGCTTTATGCGCATTATTTTAGTAAAAACCTCCATGGGAGAAGGTAGCAAGCAATGACGACCTAAACAGAAAACCCCCTAATGTATTAAATCAGACTACTTTTTGGTGGGCTGTGTTAATGCCGAATCAAAGAATGGCTCATACTGATTCGAGCAAGGTCTTATGTTACACTGCGTGTGACCTGTAGATGGGAAATAAGAGCACTGCCGCCGCCAATGGAGAGATTGATCAGTGGAGTTTGGTTTGAGGGTGTCGCCATACAAACACGACACGTACCGCACTGTGTACTCTGTCACTAGATGCAGCAGCGTGTGATAACGAAAGCTAATTGGGCGTAGCGTTACTTTGCACGCCAGAAAATAACAGGACACCGCTTATTTTGTTTTTGTATAGAGGTAACTTGGCTAGTATAATTAACTTATATCAATAATATAATAACGAGCACGCTACATAGCAAGCTAATGTCGGCTAATGGGTTAGCCCAGAAAACAATTAGACTGTCAAACTCAGACAAACAAGCATCTGGTTGACTGAGCTACCGGTGAGTTCATCTGCTAATATTAGCTGAGGCGGTCTAAATTAGAAACAATTAGCTAACTTTTGTTTAATAATGTGTTGGATAACTGTGGTTGACATATGGTACATTATTTCATAGAGGTTTAACCACGAGCTGACGTGTTTTAACGGCTAGCAGATAGTGGTTGTCAAACTTGAGCTATCACTGGTTTTTGAACATTGCTGCAGGCTTATTTTCAACCAACTATTGTAACCAAATATTTCTTGTTCAGCTGTAAAATCTTCCCCCCTGTCCGCTGTTGGTCTCTTAGGAAGGGGTGCACTTTCAGTTTGGAGATGACCTTTCCACTATAGCTGTCTGTCAAGACCCGGACCCTGGCAGCCCTATATGGCGTGTCCGGTCCAGTTCTTTTGCCGGGGGCTTCGCACTGTTGGATTAGTGCTCCTTTACTATGTCTTCTCTATAGGCATCACCTTCTATAACAAATGGCTGATGAAGGTAGGTGAAGGAGTTCATAAAGCATTATTGTTTTTTCCAGCAAGAACACTGTTCCTCTCCACATAACATACATGGTTTTATTTGGGATGATAAAAGGAAATTCATTAAAGTGGAATTTATTTTTTGGTTGTCTTGGGACCTAGGGTAACCTATATAGTTTCTCTTTTGGAGGAGACTTTAAGTACTGTAGGTCTGGGTTCAGGACCCTAAGAGATCCTAGAGACTGTGGACAATCTACCTCTGCTAGGCCATCCTAGATGACCCTGTCCGTTTCTCTCTCAGGGCTTCCACTATCCCCTCTTCATGACGTTGGTTCACCTCGCCCTTATCTTCTGCCTGTCGGCTCTGACACGACGGGCCATGCAGTGCTGGACGGGGAAACCCCGCATCGTTCTGAGCTGGACAGATTACCTCCATAAAGTGTCTCCCACAGGTGAGGTTTTAGTCTGGTGAGTTTTCCCTAACTGTTCAGAAAGCAGCACAAAGTATTCAGAGAACAGGGACTGATAGTCAGCTCTTATCATGTTCAATGAAGAACACTTGGGCTAAACTCATGCTCACTGACTAAAGTCCATATTGATACAAACATTACATCACACCTTAGGGCAGTGGTTCCTAACCCTGGGGGTCGCAAGGCCCTCTTTATTTTGAGGTGTGCTAGAAAACTTAATAATATACCCAGTAGGCCTATGTCTCAGCATTTGGTTCACTTCTGTGAAGAAAAGTTAAAGTAAAGTAAATTATCAAACAGAACAATGGCCAACCACCAGGGACAAGAACACACTGTATTTGCTAAAAAAGAAGCCTATTAAGTATGTATGATTGTCAAATTATAACAAATACATAACGCAGAGAGGGAATTGTATAAAAAGTTCAGGAAATAATCTGCTCAAAATTCATCCAAATCACGTGTTTTACACAAATGTCTTGCATTTCTTAAGTTCGCTATTTGGGTTCATTGTGCAGTTTTGAAAATAATATGAAATATTCATAAACTATGTAACTTTAACAGGGGTCATCAGTTTACTAAATGACATAAAAGGGGTCACTTAAGGAAAAAGTTTTGGAACCACTGGCTTAGGGTATGTTATAATGAACCAATACAGCATAACCATCACAAATGAGATAATGTGGTTTGAATTTGTTATGGAAATACTCATTTACATCAAAAGACGCCATACAGTTTTCCAGCTTAAATCTTAAAATTAGTAGGATTCACTGTTATTCAATTAAAGTTCCAGTGTGTAGGATTTAGTAGCATCTAGGTGCTCTCTTGCTTCAGTGTTTTGGTTTGTCCATTCTGGGCTACTATAGAAACACGCAGCGTCTGTAGATAAAAATGGCTCATTCTGAGGCAATGAAAACAGAACCATTCTTATTTTCAGGCGATTATACATGAATGAAAACCTACCTATGAATAATGTATTCAATTTCTACTCATATATCCTCCTAATTGTTACACACTGGACTTATAAATGTGAACTATAACAAAGCATGTGTTTTCACTTTGATACACTACCTTCTTGTTCACAATTGACAGTTGCAGCATAGTAATACAAGAACAACATTTATTGCAAGGTGTGTGTCTTCTAAAAGTCCTAAAATCTGTCCCTCTTACCTAGCCCTGGCAACGGCACTGGATATTGGACTTTCCAACTGGAGCTTCCTCTTCATCACCATTAGCTTGTAAGTTTGTGCTTTAGCTTTTCTAATAGAAGATACTACTTCAGTATGAACTGATAAACTTCAGGTCATAATTATTGTATCTACCCAGTTATTGGATTGTTCCATCCTATTATGTGGCTCTTCTTTTGTGTCCTTCAAGGTACACCATGACCAAGTCTTCTGCAGTGCTCTTTATCCTCTTTTTCTCCCTGGTATTTAAACTAGAGGAGCCGGTGAGTGGCTGTTTTTTCTTTGTGGAAATGGTGTATTGACCGCACAAATGCCCCAAATAAACCAGTTTTTACAAAAGGCACGAAAGAAACAATTCTATCATTGTCTCTACCTGATTTCTGTTCCGTTTTCATACTGACCGTATTGATGAATGAAATGCAGTGAGGATACAGACGATGTGATGCAATGTTTACAGAAGATAAAGTTGAGAACATAGGGGAAAAGAATGATGATGATAATGGAGCCTTTTTTAATCTGATTAATATATTGCAAAGGTGAAATTAAGTCTGACCACTATTCTCTTGGGTACTATTTCCTGCTGTGTGGACCTGCTAATGGATAGGACCACATGATACTTTTGTCTGTATAAAAAATCTTTGTATAGCCTTGTTGGACTACAAAAAACCAAATCTCCTAGCAACCACAACTAATGCCAGCCCTTTTCATCGGTAAAAAGAGCTTTTCTTAAATAATGGCCAGCTGAACAACAAAAGGAATGGTGCTTGACATTTGTAAGTTGGATCTGGACAGTTGAGTGCTTTTACTTTAAGTAGTTCAGCATGGCAGGATAAATTGAAATAACCTTGGTGATACTTTATATCTAGTGGCGTCATCTGGTTGAAACCAATAATACTTCCATCAGCCTCAGCTGCAGTTTGTGTTTAGCTGTAATTAGCAAATATTAGCATGCTAACACACTAATCTAAGGTGGTGAACATTGTAAACATTATACCTAAACTGACTAAAACTGTTTCTCATTGTCCCCTTGGACCAGAACCCATTCCTGATCCTGGTGGTCCTCCTGATCTCCTGTGGTCTCTTTATGTTTACATATGAGTCGACCCAGTTCAACCTGGAGGGCTTCATCATGGTGCTGCTGGCGTCCTTCATAGGGGGGATCCGCTGGACCCTCACTCAGGTCCTCATGCAGAAAGCAGAGCTGGGTCAGTGTTGAATCACTGAAAACTTGAAAATGATAAATATGTATAGAGCATTCCTGTTATAGTAACTTTACCTTGTGGGCATAAACACCTAAATCCAAGCATGTTTATTACCACATTTTCCTCCACGTTGAACTTGATTTTCATATTGTACTTTTCTCCAGGCCTTCAGAACCCAATAGACACCATGTACCACCTACAACCTCTCATGTTCCTTGGCCTTTTTCCCCTCTTCCTATATAATGAAGGTGAGCATAGTCTTAAGCTGTGGTTTGTCATATTTCCTGTACTTGCCAACAGCGCCCAACCTGTAACCTGTTTACACCTGGCACTCGAATGCATCTCCACATCCATCTTGACTAACTACTTGTGATCGGATCTCACTTCCCGGCTCTATATGCACATAAACACTATAGAGCTGTACCCTACTCAAAATGTTGTCAGTAACTGTCCATTATGTGTCTCTGTGCCTTAAATGTCAGATGTTTATACTTTTTTTCTTTTCTCATAGTTTATGAGAAACCTTTGCTGGTTCAAGCTGTGCTAGAAATGTCATTTATCAAGTGCTGTGTCTTCCTTTGGAAAAGAAAAAAAAAAAGCTCTACAATTAATTTGACTTCCTCCTCCATCCTGGAATATGAATAACTAACAATGGCTAACAAAATAACCAACCCATAGAAACATCACTGTACATCCTCTTCTCCGTCTTGTTTCCAGGGCTGAGCCTCTGTAGCTCAGAAAAGTTATTCCGGGTGACGGAGCTCTCACCTCTCCTGTATTCACTCTTCACACTGAGTATCGGCGGTGCACTGGCCTTTGGTTTAGGCTTCTCAGAGTTCCTCCTAGTCTCCCGGACATCCAGCC